CTCATCTGGAGACGCGAAAAGTCCTCCTCTGCTTCTGACCTTTGTCCCTCGAGCTGCAGCCTTGGAGACTCTGGGAGCTGCCCAGGAACTGGGGCGGGGGTGGGGGGAGTCGCTCATGGCAGCAGGGTGCTGCGCTCCAGGTGGGGCAGGAGTGGATAGGGAGGCGGTAGAGGGAGGGGACAGCTGCCTGGCCTCTCCATGCCAGGGGCCACGTGCGCCAGGTGGGGGGGCGCGAGTCACGAGGCTGTGGCGTGGCCGGCTTCTGCGCTGCTGTTTACCAGCTGGGAGGGACGGGTGCAGGGGGGAGGTGCCAGGGAGCCTCCCCACTGCAGCCTGGCCCCCGGCCAGCTGGCCTGTTGGGTAACCAGGAGAGCCAGGCCCAGCTAATCAAACTCTGGGCCCAGGCCGCGCAGGAGAGAAGTGGCATCCAGGACCTGCAGAAGCCTCGTGGCACAGCCGTGCCCTCCACGGAGCGCGTCCCCCGTGCAGGACCCGCGTGGGCGCACTCCACCTGGGGGCCTCCTTCCCCCAGCCGGGGGCGTGCAGCATCCGCCCCTTCCTCCCCCCTCCCCTCCCTTGCTCCTCTGCCCCCACACCCTCCTCCGGGCCTGACCCCTGTACCCCTCCACCGACGGGAGGATGTGGAGGCACAGGAGTCGGGGACGCTAGGTAAAGGCAGCGAGGGGCAGGGGCCAAGCAGGCCGAGGCTGCGAGGAACCGAGGAACCACTGGGATGTCTGACCTCATTCTGGAGAAGAGGCACAATGCCCCCGACCCTCCAAATAAGCATCCCTCCCACACCTCTCCCTCCCCATCTCCCTGGCCCTTGTCCCCCGTCAGGGAGAAAGCACATGATTCTGAAGCCACAAAGACCTGGGTTCAAATCACAGCTCGACCCCTCCGGGTCCTCGTGCAGGTCCGCACGCGGGTAAGCCGATCACGTCTCCGCGCATCCCTCGGCTCAGGGGTGCACCTGGGACAGCTATGCTTGCTCACGGTGGCTTTCGTGAGACTGGAAGAAAGTCCCGGATTTACAGAGAGTGCCTGGCAAAGGGCTCGGCACGAGGCGGGCGATCACCGAGGCTAGTCCCCTTCCCTCTGCCTGTTCTGATTTGTCTCAAGGCCCCAAACTCTATTCCTCCGGCCTCTCCCTTTGTCCTCTCCCCTTGTCCCCTGCCCTTGTCCCCTCCCCGTGCCAGGACGCTCTGCCAGCCACTCCTTTCCCCTGCCCGCTGACAGACCAGGTGCTCCCTCCCTCCGCCCCCGCCCTCCCCTGGGCCCTGCTCCCTGCCCTCCTGGGCAGCCGAGGCAGCAAGGACGGCACTCGGGGAGTTGCCCATGGACAGGTCCCCACAGAGACACCCCCGAGCCTCGCAGGGTAAGAGGCCCTACGGCCCTGCAGGCAGGTGGAAGGGGCTGCCAGGAGGTTCAGGAGAGGAACAGATGGGACTGGCCACGAAGCCGGGCGGGGAGGTGGCGGATAGATTGGCAGGGGAACACGGAGGGGTGAGACGGGACGGGTCTTGATGGAAACTGAAGGAGACAAGGGGAGGAGGAGCTGGGGGCGTAAGAGGAGGGGAAGCAGGAAAGGGGAGAAACAGGAAATAGTGGAGGGGAAGGTGAGAGAGTGAGCGGAGGAGGCAGGTGGGGTGGGGGAGGCGAGAAGCGCACAGGCGGGGGCGCCAGGCCCAGGGAAGGGTCAGTGCCCGTGGGACGAGGCGCAGACGCTGCCGCACTGAGCTCCCTGAGGCAGCGGAGCCGGCTGGGACCCCCGGCCGCAGCGGCCGGAAGGCTGGCCACTCTACTTTCCACTCCTTCGCCAATAAAGGAAGCCGTCCTGCCTTCAAGGATGACAGACGAAGGTGGGGGGATTTAGCAAGCTGCCCATGCCCACTACTGGTCACCTTTCTCCCACTGGCCCAGAGGTTTCATTGCAGAGAATGTGGGGTGCCCAGCCCAGGCCGGCGGGGCACAGAGCATCGGGCAGCCCTTAGAGACGCCCTCAGAGCAGACCCCACAGCCACAGGCTTGGTCAGCTGTGAGCACCCAGGCTCAGGATGCACCGCCAGGCACAAGGGGGGCACCCCCATATCAGGACTGCTCTGAGGTGCAAGGCTGGAGGCCAGAGAGCCGGTGCCACGTCAGGGAGGAAGCGGGGTGGGGCCGGGCAGGATCAGCAGGGAGGCGGGAGGTGCCCGATGGGGCCACGCCCTCTCCGGGCTGCCCTCCCCGCACCCCACCCAGCAGAGCCCAGGCCTGGGAGCCCACTCGCCCTGCGCAGCCCAGTGGAGGTGCCTGCCGGTGGGGAGCATCCCGGGGAAGCGGGCAGTGTGGGGTGGGGGTGGCCAGGACTGGCCGACAGAAGGAAAACAAGACCAAGGCAGAGGTTAGGGAAGCTCTGCTCCAGGGGGCCTGAGGCAGGGCTGCGCCCTTCTCTGGCCCTGTCCCCGGGGGGACCCGCTGTGTGGGTGGAGGAAATGGACCAAGGCCTGGCGGGGGGGCCTCTCCAGGGGCTCCCCGGGTGGGTGTTGAGTGAATGCTGAGCACACGAGCGGACGACGCCCCAATGGTGCTCTAGCTAAGGGTCCCCCATCGGCAGCGCCCCTCTGGAGCTCTGTGCCTCCCCGAGGGCCCCCCACAGCAACCCGCCTGCTCCCTACTGCCCGGCGCCATACAGCGGGCCGGGCGCTCCCTGTCCCTCCAAACGTCCTCAACACCCTGCCCTCAGCCCCCACGCCCAGGTTCCCAGGTGCTCTGAGGCACATGTAAGCAACCGAGAGGCTTCGCTCTGCTGGCAGCATATTCACGGGTCACCTGTAGCAGGCGGGACTACGGGAGGTTCTGGCAGTTCAAGATGGACTCCGGCCCTGCCTCGGGGGGCTCACCGGCTAGCGGGACAGCCCCGTTTCACTGGTCACGACACCATCCCAGCAGGCAGGAGACGCAGCGAGGGCGGGCGCCTGGTGTGTCGGCACCAGAGCACGGAGGAGTCAGGCACAGCCTCTCCGAGGAGGAGGAGGAGACGGATCCGAAACTGGAGGGATGAGGAGAGGGAGTGAGGGAGGAACATTCCAGGCGGGAGAAATACGGGCAATCTGGAAGTCGCGAGGGGCCTGGTGCTTCTGAGGGGCTGGACGAGGAGCGGGGTGACTGAAGGGCAGAGAAGGAAGGAGAGGCCCCACCTCGTCCCCCGAAGCCGGGCTCCACGGGGAAGGGACGGGGCCTGCGAGCAGGGCCGTCTCTCTCGGTCCTCCAGGGTCTTCAGCTGTTGGCCCTGACGCCCTCTCTTCTCTCTCCAGAGCCACTGACTGCGAAGAAGCCCCGCAGCTGTGAGTAGAGCTCGGGGGTGAGAGCTGTGGCTGGGTGTGGAGCAAAGATGCAGGGCCCAGCAAGGGCTGGGGGAGGCTCGTGGCACGCGGTGCACAGAGCTGGAAGAGCTGGGCAGAGGCGGGGGGCCGGGGGAGGTGGCCTGCAGAGAGATGGAGCCGTGGAAACCCACGAGGTGGGGCGGCGAGAGGAGGGGGAGGGGTGGAGAGGCCTCGAGGTCGGGCAGTGGGAGGGGGTGAGGGAGCAGCCTGGAGCGCGAGGGAACACGGCAGAGCAACGGGACAAGGCGGCCGAGGTGCTGGACAGCGGCACCAGAGCCCGGTCCCTGGGGGGGGCGCGGAGCAGGGGCCATGAGAAGCCGGGGGCGGCAGGGCGGCCTGCACCGCGCACTTTGTGGCCCCGGAGCCAGGTTTGGTGTTCATCTGTGTGGTTAACACTCCGAGGTGTGAACGAGCTGAGCCTGGGGCCAGGCCCTGCAGGGCTGAGAGCGGGGAGCGCCTTCATGGCTGCTGCAGGGGACGCGATGGACAGGGACAGCCTGGGTCGAGGGGCCCCGGAAGACTGAGCCACAGTGTGCAAGGACGACGGGGCAGGGCTCGGGAAGGACTTCCCAGTGGACACTAGTGAGTCGGCACCCTCCATAGGGCCTCTCGGCACCTCGGGTCTGCCCTCTTGGTTTGTGGGAGAGGCTGCTCCCCCAGAAGCGCAGCACCCCACCTCAGCCCCAGAGCCGAAAGTCCTCTCGTAGTCCCCGCACACAGGGGAAGGCCTCCGTGGCAGGGGTCCGGAGGCGGGGCCTGCCGGTTCCTCCTGAGAGCTCCCCGCCACCCTCCTGCCCCCACATTGCCTGGAGCCTTGCCGTGGGGGGCAGAGGACGCACGGCGGGCAGCAGCGTCTCCCCCTCCCTGCACGGGGCGGACAGGGGCTGGGGGGCCATCCAGGATGCTGCCCTCAGGGTGGGGGCTTGCTCTGCTCAGCACAATCCTGATTGCGTCTAGCCTGCCCCTAGCCGCAGGGCCCCACGGAAATGCTGAGCAGGCCCCTGGGAGGAAAGCGGGTCAAGGAGTGTGACGCGTGAGCTGGGGGAAGGGCGCGGGGGACACTATGTGGGTGGGGGGTGAAGGGGGACTTTCGGAGCAGCTGGAACTGGAAGAGGCTGAACTCTCTTCCTACCCTTTAACCCCTCACCGCAGAGACCTGGTCCAGGGCCACACCTCCCGACGCCCTTCCCCACCCCCACCCAGGCCCTCCGCGTGTCTCCCGAGGACCCAGGCTGGCAGCCCCTGCCCCGCGCCACGGCCCAGCTCCCGGGAGTCGAGGAAGCCTGGCGGGGAAAGGCCTGGACCAGGCGGAGGAGCTGCTGCAGTCCAGGCAGATCAGGGACCCTGGAGGTTTTCCCAGTGAAGCCAGGAGAGGTCAGAGCCTCCCCCGAGCCCTGACAGACGCTCCGAACAGAGACAACCCCAAGGAGAAAGGAACTGGGGAGGGACCCCCCAGATCAGGAGGGGGCCTGACCCAGGCTCCCCGCAGAGCAGAGATGAGGCTGAAAGTGCCTCTGAAATTGATTGGTCCCTCAGAAGGACCCCCCAGGCCGGGAAAATATAGAGACGCTCAGAGACCAGGAGCCCGCCCAGGCCGAGATGCTCTCGAGGGCAGACTTGGACCAGAGAACCCTTCCCGCTCCTCAAAGGGATCTAGGGCCGAACTGCCTGAGGTCGAATCCTGACTCCACCACTCACGGCTGTGTGACCTCGGGCACGTTTCTTAGCCCAGTTACTCTGCGTCTGGCTTTCCCCATCGCTGAGGGGGGCTAAGGGTACCTACCTCATAAAGCATTTTGTGAGGCTTAGGCCATCCGCATGAAACGTTAAGCACCATGGCTGCCTCGGAGCTGGCATCGGCGTCCTCGGCCACAGAGCTGCCGTCTAGGTTCAGCACTTTTGCTCCTGAGGACACTCTGGATGGCCTGACCCCCTTCTGCAAATGGTGGCATTTGTCCCCGTTGTCACTGCTACAGCTGCCATGTGTTCCCTAGCCCAGGGCCTCCACTGTGTCCGCAGGGCGGAGGGAGGGGGGGTGTGGCGGGCGCTGGGGTGGCCTCCCAGACTGCGCCTCGCTGGGCATGGCCCTTGCCAGTCCACGGGGTCTCCAATGGCACATGCCACCGCCCCGGGCCGACATCCTGCGACTTACCTCTAGAAACATCCCTGGCCCTGGAGTCACCTGGCAAAGAGGGTCAGTCCCAGGGGTCCTCGGGGGGGAGGGGGACACTGGCCCGGCTCCTGTGAGCTCCCCTCTGGCTCCTCAGCCAGAGCCGCCCGTCAGGTGGAAGCGGCTTTGAGCGCCCGTGGCTGTCGCATGTGGTTTTGGAATTTTCCACCGCCCCCTGTGATTGGCGGCCCCGCCCCTCACACCCTGCCCCAGGCCCAGACTGGCCACGTGGGGCGCCTGTCATCCTTCCCACTACGCCCCAGAAGGGGTGGGGGGTGGTGGAGTGGGGGGTTGTCACTGGGCCACCTGTGTGGTGCGAGCTTAAACCCCCCCTGCCCAGAAGCATTGGGGGAGAGCTGGGTGCAGAGCGTCAGTCTGAGGCTCTGCTGAAAGGCCTCGCCCCAACCCTGCTGCCAGCTGCGCCCCATCTCTGGACCCCCTCCAAGAAGGACAGGGAGCCGAGGCAGCGGGGAAAGCCCACGGCTCAGCCATGAGAAGTAAGTGAACGGGGCCACCTGGAAGTGGAGGGAAGCCTGGGTCTCGCCGTCCCCCCTGGGCCCCTGGAAGGGGAGAGGTTCTAGGGAATAGAGTGAGCAAAGCTGGGTGCTCTTCCCTGGCCGGGTGTGTCCTGGCCAAGGCCAAGGTCTGTTGGCAGATGGGTGGAGTAGCTGGGGAGTCCAGCCCCCAGGCAGTGCCCTGGGAGCAGCGACAGTAAAGAGGCCGCTCTGTCCCAAGTCCCGGGAAGGGTCTCCAGGAGCATCCGAGGAGCCCTGCCCCCTCTGACAAGCAGAGAGGCTGAGCGCGTCGCCTCAGAGCACACAGCTGTAGCAGAGGGAGGTTGGTGATTGCCAGGTGGCCCCAACTCTCTCTCCTGGGTCCCACCGTAGGGTCGCCCCCTGTGCCTCTGACCTGCCTGTGAGTAGGGTGGAACAGGAGGCCAGACCAGCTGCTGGGCCCGAGCAGCAGGACAGTGAGGACTGAGCGAGGACAGCAGGCAGCGGGGGCCAGAAGCCAAGCCTTGGGGCCTCGGAGCCACCCAGGGTGCCGTGCATGTGTGCGCGCGCGCGCGTGTGTGTCCCCAGGTTCAGTCACCCGCGTGATGAGATCAGGCAGTGGCGATGAGAGCAGGAAGCTCTCAGCTTCACCCTCTTTCTGGCTGGGATCCGTGGGCTGACAGCCGGTGGGCAGATGCGCGGGGTCCCCGTGCTTTCCAGCGGAGCAAGGCTGGGCGAATCTGCCACTCCCCACGTTCACATAAGGGAGCTGGAGAGCCTCTCAGAGCCCCGGGCCCCAGCCTCAACCTGGGGTCTTCCCACAGGACACAGAAGGGAGGCCCCTCTTGGGTGCTAGAAAGATCCACGGGCTGCAAGTCCAAAGACCAGGTTCTGGAGGCACCTCTGTCACTGACTAGCTCTACTACAGTCCTCAGCAGGTCACTGGGCCATGGTCTTCTTATCTGCGAGACGAGGGAGCTGGGTTTAAAAACAAAAGCAACTTGGGAGAAGCCCCCAGTTCCGAGGGCCCGGGACAAAGGGGAGAGCCCCGGTCCCTGCCCTAGGCACCCCCAAAGGTGGGGAAGGGCACTAGGCTTTCCCGGGGGGCGGGGTGGAAAGGAAAGGGAGCAGCCACACGTCCAGGCTTGGGATGGGGTCTCCGGGGCGCAGTGGCCTGGGGTGGGGTGAATCGGGCGGGGCCAGGAGAGCCAAAAGCTCCGGCAGGGGGCAGGGCCCCTGCGGCCTCGGCTTCCCTTCCAGCCTCTTCCTATTAGCAGCAAAGGTGAACACACCCGTCGTCCCAAATCAGCAAGTCCGCCCCGGGAAGCGATGCCTGGGTGGGCGTCAGAGCCTGGCAGACGGGCAGGACCGGGCGACTGGGGTCTTGGGCGACTCTACGTCATGTCCGCCCACAGCTCCATCCAGGCTGCTGGGAAGGAGCGGGGTCTCCTGCAACCTGGGCTCGGTGCCAGGGGTCCGTCTCACTCGGACATCTCTGGGTATCCCATAGCCCCGACTCCTCGGACCGCCCCCCACCCATGAGTGCCAGCCACCACCTTGCCCTCTGACCACAGCTGGGACGGGTCAGAGCACTGAGGGCTTGGGACTGAGGAGGGATACCGAGGCCCCGCTCGGAGGACAGAGGTTTGTGAAACACGCAGGGAAGAGTGATGTCCCGATGCAGATAAGGGGAGACATAGCAGGAGAGCCAGAGCTCGTGATGAGAAGCCAGAGACCGAGCGGAGAAGGTGGACGGGCCGGCGGACGGGGGGAGACGCCGAGCGCCTGGGGCCGCGAAGGCGGTGCGGGAGGCACGGCTTTCGCGGAGGTTCTGGGAGGATGGCACAGGCTCCCTGCCATGGCGGCCGCTGCTAAGCAGAGAGGAAGCGTCCACGCATGAGCCAGCCAGGGGGCGGGTGGCCCAGTCGTCCCCGTCTGAGGCCGCGGCCAGCAGCCGGCGTGGAGCCGAGAGGCAGAAAGCCTTGGCGTGAGGCCTGGCCCGGGACGGGGACGGGGGAGGAGGAAGGCCAGGTCGCCGGCCTGTCTCTGCTGTGCCCGATGCTGAGGAGGAGCCGGGGGCCAGAGAGAAGTCAAGTCCCCAGGGCGCCACGGGCTGGCTGAGGACTCGGCAAAGGGCCCGTCCTCCCTCCCACCACTCTCACACCCGTCCCTTTCCCTCTGTCCCCATTCCCAGCAGGAGAGGTGACGCAGCCGACACCCCGGTGTCGTGGTGTGGTGTTGCCACCCTTCCAGGGGCTCCCTCCCCCTGCCCTGCCTCTGTGCCCTGACTCACACAGGGGACGGGGACTTTCCCCTGCCAGCTCTCTAAGGATGGCTGCCCCGGGGTCCCCTCCCGTCCTCGGTGGCCAGTCCACTCCACCTGCTGCTGCGACCCAGCTGCTTCCCTGGCAGGCCGGGCTCCAGAGGTGGAGATGTCTGTTCCGGGGGGGGTAGGGGGGGAGAGGTGGCAATGGGGCAGGGCCCCGGGGCCTGGGCCAGCGGCCGTCGGGCCCTGGGCCTCCTGGAGGCAGGGAAGGGGGCCCGTGGGGCCGCCGGGGCCCCCACTCCCCAGAGCTTCCTCCTGGTGATTCACCCCTCCCCCATTCGCGGGTTGTTTTCACCCGATTCTTTTGTTTCCCCTCTTTCCTCCTGTCCCAGACTGCGGGGGTGGCGGGGGAGACACGGGGGGGTTTCGGGTGGCTGGCTGTCTTCGGTGGCTTCTCAAAACCCCAGACTCTCCGTCGCCCACCTGAGCTTTAGCTTCACTACTTTCTCAGCCCTGGGATCTGGCGGATCAGCAGAAAGTTCTCGCCACGGGCTGGGAGGCGAGCTCACCAGGTAGCACTGCCTCCCCCCTCGGCCCCCACCCAGCGCTGCAGCAGCACCCACCGCCGTGGTTTCCAGCTTTGCAGAAGCTGCGGGAACGGAGAGCTGGGAAAGGAGGGAGGCTGGGGACAGGCTGGGGCACACAGGGGACCCCTGGCCAGAGCTGTGGTCTCTGCGGGGAGAGGGACTGAGCATCTTGGCTGTGTTGGGGGGGGCGGGGGGAGGGGGTCCA